TTCTAAACAATAAATTAATTCAACATTAAGTGCTAAAAGATTTTTGACTTGTTTTATAAAACTCAGTTTGCGTCAATCATTTTGAGTTTATTAATACTGTATTAAGTTTTGTATCTTAATATTAAAATTGATAAAATGTTTTAATACTTATCTATGATATTGTTTCCAGAGCAATACCTATTGAAACCATTGTGTGAAACATTGGTATATTTATATTCTCAAACTACCGGTTAATCAATAGTAATGATACAATCCTCAACTAAAAGGATTATTTTTATTTTGAATTTTTAATACTAAGTTAGTTTACATTTTATTTTTAAATGTTTATAGTTTTAATTTTCGTCATAATTGGTATTGATTGTATGCCAAGTAAGTAATTAACAAATTTTTCCGTAAATTAAAAAGTGCTAAAAAAATTATATAAATTTTAGTAAAAAACATTTCAATACCACTGGAAAGGGAAGTGTTAGAGAATCCGGACCTATTTGGTGGAGATATGGCTGGAATAGACCCCCATTCGTTATCAATGGTAATATAGTTTCACAATATACATTTAATCTAAATTAATTTAATGTAAAAATAATAAAACTTTCAAATAGCAAATAAACAAACTTATAAACAGTGCAACTCCTGATGATAATAAGCTGTGGCCAATGGGAATTATTCCGTATGCTATTGATCCGGAACTTGGTACTTATATTAGTTTAAATATTTTAAATAAATTACATTTATGTTTGATAAATAAGTAGACTATTAATTTAAAAATATGTTTTGATATGAATGTTTAATGAATAATTAAAAAGCAAGCAAAAGATCAGTGATTATAGAGGCAATGAATCAATACCACCAAAACACTTGCATCAGGTTTGTGGAGAGAACTACGGAATATGACTACATTTACCTGTCAAAAGTGAGCGGGTATGGCACCACTCTACCTTTCAATAATTGACACCCTGATCAAAATAATATTTTTTAGTTGCTATTCATATGTGGGAAGATTTGGCGGCAAACAACTGATATCATTGAGCGATGGGTGTCATAGCGTCGGCACAATTGTTCACGAGTTGGGACACACTGTGGGCTTCTATCACGAACACCAACGCTCTGATAGGGATGACTACATCCAGTTGTTCAGTGATAATATAAAAGACATATATAAGGATCAGTTCAACAAAATGGACCCAAAAGACAACCGACTGTTAATGCCCTTTGACTTCAATTCAGTGATGCTTTACGGGCCGTTAGCCTTCAGCAAAGACGGTCGCTCTCACACTATGGGTCCTAAAGACAAATACAAGTCCGAGAGTATGCTTGAAGTGAACCATAAATACGGATTAAGTGAGTCTGATATCAATGCCATTCAAAAGTTATATCAGTGCTAATCAAAAAGTAATTTATAATGTAATATATTATACAATATTTATTATTTATCAAATTCTTGTAAAACTAATTATGATAATGTTTTGTGTTTAAAATGCATAAAATAAAAAGGTGCTAAAAATACACAAATTAATTATTAGACACAAATACTGAGAATACAGGTTTAAAGATAATGTAGTTCCAGAGGAAGTCATGAGTGGTGTATCAGTCGGTGAGCTTCATATTACTAACGGTTTCATCGAATTGTTTCTTCAAACTGTTCCAAAGCCTAACTCCATATCTGAGACCATCTTTGAATGTCTCGGA